ATGAGTTCACTGTACTCAAATGGCCTCCACAGTCACCAAATCTCAGTCCAATAGAGCACCTTTGGGATGTGGTGAAACAGGAGATTCACATCATGAATGAGCAGCCGACAAATCTGCAGCAACTGCGTGATGCTATCATGTCAATATGGGCCAAAGTCTCTGAGGAATATTTCCGGTACCTTCTTGAATCTATGCAACGAAGGATTAAGGCAGTTCTGAAGGCAAAAGGGTATCCAACCTGGCACTAGTAAGGTGTACCTAATAAAGTGGCCGGTGACTGTATAGCTTTTGTACAACTGTGAAAATTCTGAATGTGTTTGCAGAAAATATATTTACATTAGAATGGTTTTAGTCAAATTTTAGGAAATTTATGTTTGAAATATATTTAAAAACATACTTTTTTTTACAATATGTCCATGCAAGCAAAAATACACAAACAGATGTTATTGCCAACACACACACACACACACACACACACTGATATCCCAGATATCCTAATCCAGACAGAGACCTGCATGCATGGAGAGAGAAGTAGCCAAGATTATAGTCAATATTGTGTGTGTGTGTGTGTGTGTGTTTGTGTGTGTGTGTGTGTGAGACAGACAGACAGACAGAGACAGGAGTAAATGCACGGGAGGGAAACTGCAGTGTTGCCTTCACTGAAAGTCTCACTTAAGGTTTGCTGTAGAAAACCACAGCAGAAACACGTCAAGACGTGATCAACTGATGAGGAGATTGAAAGACAGATACATGTATGTGCAGCTAGTTAAGTAGGTCACTTTTTAGTCAGATGGTCACAGATAACAGATTATTTATTTATAAATATTCATAATTCTTCTAAACTTCTTTGAAATTGTGGGTAGATTATTAATACTTTTGTTTTTATATTACATACTAATATCATTTTATAATAACAAAATGGTGACTGTATTTATGACATGTATAATCATAAACATTTATTTTGATTCACAGACACATTTATTAATTCTTGTATATATGAACTATATTGATTATATGTGGAGAATTTCATCACATTGATTCATAATTGAATCATATATAAACATTGTTCATTACTTGATTAATTATTTTCCAGTCACAGTCAAATGTTTGCAGAGTACACATAAGAATGCAGGAGTCTAACTGAATGTGTTGTATTGTGGGACTGAGACCTTTGTGTGTTGAAGGTTGAGTTGTACAGTGTGTTTACTTGATTCTACTATGAACAGTTGTTGAGCTGCAGAAGGGCTGATGGGGGACGAGAGCTGTTTGTCTTGCTATAGGCGTGTGTGTGTGTGTATGTGTATTAGGCTGTGTTTACTTTTTTGCGTGTGTTGTTGCCCTTCGGCAAGGTACACACACACACAGAAAGAGAGAGAAAGAGATACACACACAAATACAAACACACATATACACACTGACAGAGAGAGTGACAAGCATACACACACACACACACACATGCAGAGAGATAGACACACAAAGAGAAACAGACACACACAGAAAGACACACACACAAACACACACACACACACACACACACACACACACAGACAGACAGAAAGAAAAAAGAGAGCCACACACAGATAGACGCACACTGAGACATACAAACGTACACAAATACACAGAAAAACACACATACAAAGACACACAAACACACACACACAGAAAAAGAAAGACACACACACTCACACACACTCACACACACACACACACACACACACACACAGAAAAAGAAAGACACACACACACACACATACACACACACACACACACACACACACACACACACACACACACACACACACACATACACACACACACACACAGAGACACTGACATGCATGCAAAGACACAAAAACACAACACAGAAAAAGAGACACACATAGACACACACACAAACACGCACACAGGCACAGAGATGGACAAAACACACTTAGAGAGAGAAAGAGACTGACACACACAAACACACACACAAACACGCACAAGAAAACAAAATTGCGCACACACATACAATGAATAGACACACAAAGAGAAACAAACACACACACACACAGAAAAAGAGAGCCACACACAGATAGACACACGCTGACGTACACACAAACTCACGCACACACATACAGAGAGATAGACACACAATAAACACACCTATACAAACGTACACACAAAGAAAGACACACATACAAAGACACGCAAACACACACAGAAAAAGACACACACATTTATACAGACACAGAGACACAGACATGCATGCAAAGACACAAAAACATAAACACAGAAAAAGAGACACACATAGACGCACACACACGGGCACAGAGATGCACAAAACACCTAGAGAGAGAGAGAGAGACACACACACACACAGAACAACACACAGAAACACACACAGAAAAACACAAACATGCACACACACATACAGAGTGATAAACACACAAAGAGAAACAGACACACACTGAGACATACAAACGTATACACACACAAACACACAGAGAAAAACACACATAGAAAAAGACAGACACACAAACACACACACAAACAGACACAGACATGCATGCAAACACAGACACAGAGACTCAGACATGCATGCAAAGACACAAAAACACAAGCACAGAAAAAGAGACACACATAGACGCACACACAAGCACACACACAGGCACAGAGATGGACAAAACACACGTAGAGAAAGAGACTGACACACACACACACACAGAAAAAGAGAGCCACACACAGATAGACACACACTGAGACATACAAACGTACACCAACACACAGAGAAAGACATACATACAAAGACACACAAACACACACAGAAAAAGAAAGACACACAGACATGCATGCAAAGACACAAAAACACAAACACAAAAAAAAGACTCACATAGACGCGCACACAAACACACACACACACACACACACACACACACACACACAGGCACAGAGATGCACAAAACACCTAAAGAGAGAGAAAGAGACTGACACACACACAAACAAACACACACAGAAAAACACAAACATGCGCTCAAACACACAGAGAGACACACAAACACACACATACAGAGAGATAGACACACAGACACGCACACACACCTGCCCGAGGCCCTGATGATGAGCAGACGCTCTGTATATTTATAGACTGTGATAATAAAAAAGCTGGGAAACATCTGACTGACGAGAACGAGACAAAGAATGAAAGACCGTCTTTGTGTCAGTTTCCACACACACCGACATCGAGCTGTACATCACTTTAAAACACACCATGGAGGAAAACAACACACATATTCACTCAACGTCAGATTAAAATGGATTCTTTCTTTTGATTGGTCACTTTTCTTAACCGAGCACTCTGATTGGCTTCTGAATTACATAGTTTTATCAAGTGTAAGCTCATTAAATATATTAAAGAAGTAAATTGGGGATGGCATGGTGGCTCAGTGGTTAGCACTGTTGCCTCTCAGCAAGAACGTCACTAGTTTGAGTCCTGGCTAGGTCAGTTGGCATTTCTGTGTGGAGTTTGCATGTTTTCCCTGTATTGGCGTGGGTTTCTTCTGCATGCTCCGGTTTCCCCCACAGTGGGGTGAATTTAGTGATTTGGAGGCCTTAAGCAATTCCAGCCATGGGGCCCAACAGTCCTAATATGCACCTTTTATACTATCAAGCTATTTATTCATCCATCCGTGCTGGTTGTTCCAGCCATCATTTATCCATCCATCCATCCATCCTATCCATCTGTCTGTCTGTCCGTCCGTCTGTCCGTCCGTCCCTGTTGGTTGTTCCGTCCATCCAGCCATCCATCTGTGTTGGTTGTTCCGTCCGTCCGTCCGTCTGTCTGTCTGTCTATGTATCTGTCTGTCTGTCTGTCTGTCTGTCTGTCTGTCCGTCCGTCCGTCCATCCCTGTTGGATGTTCCATCCAGCCATTCATCCATCCATCCGTGTTGGTTGTTCCATCAATCAATCCATCCATCTTTCCATCCATTCATCCATTCATCCATCCATCCATCCATCGATCTATGTTAATTGTTCCATCTATCCATCCATCCATCCGTGTTGGTTGTTCCATCCATCCATCCATCCATCCATCCATCCATCCATCCATCCATTCATCCTGTTGGTTGTTCCATCCATCCATCCATCTATCCCTCCATTTATCCTGTTGGTTGTTCCATCCATCCATCCATCCCTCCATTCATCCTGTTGGTTGTTCCATCCATCCATCCATCCATCCATCCATCCATCCATCCATCCATCCATTCATCCATCCATCCATCCCTCCATCCATCCATCCCTCCATTCATCCTGTTGGTTGTTCCATCCATCCATCCATCCATCCATCCATCCCTCCATTCATCCTGTTGTTTGTTCCATCCATCCATCCATCCATCCATCCATCCATCCATCCATCCATCAGAAGATTCAGAGAAGATCAAGATCACTTAATACTAGAGATGCTCCGATTAGGATTTTTGCAGCTGATAAAAAGTACTAATTCCTTGTAATGGTGATCGACCAATACCGAGTACCTATTCTGGTACTTTTTAGCTTTATATAACTTTGCTATTGCATAAGCACAATTACCCTTTAAGTATAAGATCTCGCCTCACCTAAGATAATAAATTAAGTATGTCGCATTCATCTAATGGTCAAAAGCAGCTTTACAAAAAAATAGAGATAACAGATTAAAAATGGTAGGGAGAACAATGCAATTTGGAAACATTTTTCGTGTTGTATTCCATACCGAATACTGTGTATTTATACTAAGCTATTGCTAATGAACTGTGTGTTATGACACTGTTTACTCTGATATTATTATAATGCGTAATATGCTGTAGATGCTTGTAAGAGTGCATATTTGATCTCTGTCATCTTTCTGATTGAGTATGTGCAGTATGCAAACAGAATATTTCCCGGATGTTATTTATCTAGTCTGTCAGTGTATGAAAGAATATGAGAAGCATGTTAGCATTGCAAACACAAGCACTCATCCTCTTTTCTTGTGTTCATTCTTATGCAGGAATCTGTCCAAGAAATACCAGCCTAAGAAGAAGGATGAAGACGAGAATAAGTATGTTTGATTATTTGTTTCTCCTCATGCACTGCATCCAAAATCACATACTACTCCAATGGATATTACAATTGAGTCTGAACTTGCTTCACGAGCATTAAACAGTATTGTCTGTATAGTAGGGATGTAACGGTATCAGAATTTCACGGTACGGTAATACCTCGGTATGAATGTCACGGTACGGTATTTATTGAATCATTTACAAGAAAAAACAAAACTTATGAAAATACTCCAAAAAAGTGCCAAAAGTGTCAATGACATACAAATTAGCCATCTATCTGTAAGCTTTGAAACAGGAACTTCAATTTTAATAACAAAAAAATATTAAACCATGTAAAAAAATTAAGTTTCAATTTAGTATTGTTGAAAACTCGTCACATTCATCATTTAATCACTCACTCACTTAGATAGAGATGGGTTTAAAGGAAACTTATCATATAACTATAATCTGGTAAAAGCTGGTATCTCTGGGTATTTACAATGTGCCCTGCAACAGAAAAAAAACCCTCTCATTTGGGACTGAGGTTTCTGGGACAAGAGAGATATGACTTGGCCCAGGTTGACAGCAGTGGGTAACGTTGTGCATTGTCTTTCCCCCACTTGAGAGGACAAACCATGAGTGAGAAAGAGATCTCATGTCTGCATCAATCTGAACAGTGTGCTGTGTTTCTGCAGTCCCCATGACTGATTATTAGTCGTATTCCCCAACTCAGCAGTGCTCAACCTGTGCAGTGCACATGCCCTTTTTAGTCTTGGATAGAAAGTTCCCTTCCAAAATGATCAAAAGTGCCCCCGCAACACGACATACCCTCTGTCCCCGCTTTACAGTACGCGCGCGACAACACAGCTGATAAGAACTTGCGCGACAACACCACTATTCAGTACGCGCGCGACAACACAGCTGATAAGAAATCGCGCGACAACACCACTATTCAGTATGCGCGCGGCGACAACACCCGCTTTAGGGTTTTCCAGCTCTTTTTGATCCCCGCTTCTAGCAGCACACTCCATTTCCGCATTTATGGATCTGTAGCGACAACAGACCGCAAGGGATTATGGCCAAGCCTTGGCTGATGGGAATTGTAGTTTTCGCTACCTCCTGTTCGCTTCATTCGCCTGAGCAAATTTTTTTCAGAAGACCTATAGTTTTACCGAGTCATGCGACTACGGTAATATCGGAAAAAATTAATATTGCGGTATAACGTTATTTACAATACCGTTACATCCCTACTGTATAGTTTGAATTTGAGCAGTATTAATCAAATTCAGAAGCACTGCGGCCATGTCCACATGTAGATGGGTATTTTTATGTCTTGTGCATTCTATAGTCTTTCCAAAAACGCACTTTAATGCATGTTAAGGGCACACCGTACTAACAGGCGGAACAATGTATAGTTATAGCTATATAGTAAGAAAGTATGCAAGTTTGGATACACCGGCATTCAGAGATGTATAGTAACGAAGTAGAAATTCAAGTTCATTTATTTATATATAGCACATTTAAAAGCAGTCACAAGACTGACCAAAGTGCTGTACATAAGACAAGGTAAAAATAAAAAGACAAGATATAAAACATAGAAATAAAGCAAGAGAAACGTCAGTAAAAATGTAAACTGTAGCAATAGAAATAACTATTAAAATAATCTTAAAAAGACAAGCTAAAAAGGTACGTTTTAAGAAGTGATTTAAAAATAGATAAAGATGGAGCCATTCTAATTTCAATTGGCAAGGTGTTCCACAGCCGAAGACCCGCCACAGAGAAAGCTCTGTCCCCTCTACGTTTCAGCCTGGACTAGAACTACTCCACTACTGTACTTAAGTACTAAAAGGCTGTGTCTGTACTCTACTGGAGTATTGTTTTTTTCCACTTTTACTTCAGTACATATTTTCGATGAGTTTAACACTTTTACTCTGATAGATTTTTTATGTGCTGCATCGTTACTCGTTACTAGGGGTGTCAAAATTATCGATATTGGTTCAGTAATAGATGATAACCGGTTATTACGTTCTGATGTCATTTATCTCCTATGAGCGATGCCGGAGTAGAATACTATGGAGAAGGTGGCGAGGGCGAGTAAATAACGCTCTTACTACAATGAAGGCGGCACAGCACACAAACCGCTATTTCTCTACTAAGAAGAAATGCTGTAAATCTTTACCTCTCTCCCCCTTTGGACATTTGACCCGCTGGCCTGTTTGTGAGGTAACTTTTCCTCTCCTCTTGGCTGTTAAAGCGATACTTGTGGATAAAGCCACGAGCGTGCCTGAGGTGCAAGTCTTCTCCACTGTGTCTATTATGGATTACCTGTGATAACCGCGTATTATGCGCATATAGTCTGTAACCGCGGCTGTTCTTCCTGCCATCAGTGAACATCGCTTTCATTTCTAAATCCGATCGCAGCCCTTTCTGTTGAGCAGATGAAGACAATAATCAATCATAGGGGTGTAAGACCTCGCCTGTCAGCGCTCAAAAAGCAAGCAGGATAATATTTACGTTAGTTTATTTGCTATAAATGCTCATGCTGTCTTCTGTGCTTGTGTTGGAGTTTTCTTTGAGCAGGTCAAATTAAGGCAGTTCATATATCTTACTGCTGTATTAAAGAACAAAGTTGTATTACAAATAATATAGAAATATAAATAGATTTATAGAGTTTAATAAAACAAAATCTTGTGTTGTGAAGAAAAAATCTAATTATGTATTGAACAGAATCTATGGCATGATAATCGTAACCAAACCATGAGATCAGTATAGATTCACACCCCTACTCGTTTCAATTACAGACCTTTTTCTTGGCTGCTGCATGGAGGGCGCCATAGTGACCAGCGTCTTCCAGTAGAACGTTTAGAACTTCCGCTTACAGCATTTACAACCGGTAACTCCCGATAGGAAATTGCATTTTAATAGCATTTTGAGTGGATTTCAGAGTATTTTTGTGACACACAACTTTAAAAGGTGTGTGTTAAAGCTGTTATAGTCTGTCAGATCTGTGTTTCAAACACGAGAGAAAATGTTATAGTGAGCCCCGTTTCTTTTCGTTCTGCTTAATCACGTGCCCTAAAAAAAGATATTAAAAATAAACAAAACAAAATGAAGTCTTTTGACTGCTTTCTTTAATAACTACATTACACAATACTTGTACTTTTACTTTCAGTACTTGAGTAGTACATTTTAAAAATTAACAACTTGCAATACTTAAGTACAAAAAATGTTGTATACTTTAGCACTTCCACTTAAGTATGGTGCTTAAAGAGCACTTCAACTTCAACTCAAGTCACTTTTTTAATAGAGCACTTGTACTTTTACTAAAGTCTGGGTCTTTAGTACTTTGTACATCTCTGCCGACATTTTTGTTTGGGAAATTTTAGATTAGTCTCATGCATGTTGTATTAATGATGAATGTGTTTGTTTGTGTGTGTGTGTCAGATATACGTGGTGCCGTGCATTTCATTCAACGTTGAACGAGCTGAACGATTACGCCGGTCAGCATGAGGTCATCGCGGAGAATATGATGTCACAGATCATCGCTGAGCTCACCAGATACTCTCAGGAGATCAAAACAGAGAGGAAAACGGTGAGTCCAAATATTCAGCTCATCTTTATTTCTATAGCGCTTTTACAATGTAGACTGCCAGAGCAGCTTGACATAAAAACCTTCTAATAAATTATAACTGCTTCAGTCCAGTTTTCAGAGTTGAAGTTCAGTTTAGATTAATATAAATGTCACTGCTAAAGCCCAAACACTGAAGAGCGAAAGAAAAAACGTCATAATACTGTGATTGAACTATTGAGCTGCCTTTTATCTAGAGTTTATAAACACATATAATATTTTTTTCACAATTTTTGTATCCATCCTAATTGTAAGTTGGTGGCTTAGTGGTTAGCACAGTCGCCTCACAGCAAGAAGGTCACTCATTTGAGTCCTGGCTGGGCCAGTTGGCATTTCTGTGTGGAGTTTGCATGATTGAATGAATGAATAATTGCAAGTATTTATTTGTTTTTTGGCTGTTAGGTGTTTTCCTTGATGATTAAGTGGGTTATTATCAATGAACTATTAAGATATAAACCTAATGTCAATTAAAATTAGTGAATCAAAATATTAAATCTAAAATATTTTGCATTAATATAATGTAACACTTTGGATTATGGATTGATTTATTTCAAAGGAGCTTATGTATGTTTATGTACAGTTGAAGTCAGAATTATTAGCCTCCCTTTGAATTTCTTTTTCCTTTTTAAATGTTTCCCAAATGATGTTTAACAGAGCAAGGAAATTTTCACAGTATTTCTGATAATATTTTTCCTAGTGGATAAAGTTTTATTTGTTTTATTTTGGCTAGAATAAAAGCAGTTTTTAATTTTTTAAACACCATTATAAGTTAAAATTATTAGCCCCTTTAAGCTATGTATTTTTTGATAGTCTACAGAACAAACCATCATTATACTAATTACCCTAACCTGCCTAGTTAACCTAATTAGCCTAGTTAGGCCTTTAAATGTCACTTTAAGCTGTATAGAAGTGTCTTGAAAAATATCTAGTCAAATATTATTTACTGTCATCATGGCAAAGATAAAATAAATCAGTTATTAGAGATGAGTTATTAAAAATATTACGTTTAGAAATGTGTTGGAAAAATCTGCTCTCCACTAAACAGAAATTGGGGAACAAAATAAACAGGGGGGCTAATAAATCAGAGGGGCTAATAATTCAACTATAAATACTGTGCATGAAAACATACATAAGATCCCTTGAAATAATAATATATTTATACTGTACATGTAATCACAGTAAAATATGTAATTTAATAAATACAATGTAAATAAATAAGTACAAATATATGACATGTTTATATACATTTAAGTATGTGTCATTATGTATAAATAAATTATTTATATTATTTTAAATATAAAGTATAATAATAAAGAATGATAAAAAAATATAATAATAATACTACTATAAAAGTAATACATTAATATGTGTTATATATAACATGCACTTTTGGTACACATAGATTTAATAGTGTAACTTAATTTGTTAATCATACTGTAGATTTTTATTATGATTTCCCTTTTAAAATATCATATTTGTCATATATACAGCAGCAGTTTCTCTGTCTATCTCTCTTCCATAAATAGAAATGCTGTTGTGTGCTTAGACTGAAAGTGTCTGCGCTGTGTTTATGAATCACACTCATTTGTGTACCTGTGTGTGTGTGTCTGTGTGTTTTCATCAACACACACACACACACACACACACACACACACACACACACACACACACACACACACACACACACACACACACACACACACACACACAAACAACAAACACACTCACATTTACTCACTCTCACACACACACGCACACACACACACACACACACACACTGTATATGTATTCAATTTTTAATCACCCATAGACATATACACACTCACATCTACTGTATGAAAAAAAACTCTCAAGTCTGTCTCTTAACTTGTATCTTTCATTTAGCAAATGAGGTGAAGGCTTTTAAGTATTATCCTGAAGAACGCACATTTCCCAGCATTTAACACACACACACACACACACACACACACACACACACACACACTGAAGAGGGCTCCATGCCGTCTGTCTGGATGTTTTCCCAGAATTCACTTCTCTCCTCTCCCTTTTTTTTTAAACATACACCTCTTCTTTCTCTCTGTCCATCAGTTCATCTCTTCATCCTGTTGATTTGAGACTCATACACAGTTGCAGATGTGCTTAAGCACTTAGATATGTGCATATAGAGTCATGCTCCAAATTATTGTCACTCTAAGTACTGTAAATATGAGCAAATAATTAGGGCTGCCCCCAAATAGTCGACTAAACTTTAGTCGATATGAAGAGGGCTTGGTCGAATACATTTTCATTAGTCGGTTAGTTGCAAAAAAAATAATAAAATCACGTGAAATTACGCAATCAAGGGCTGCGCAGTCAGTGTATGACATCAGCATCAACGCCTAACGCCTAAACGCCTCCACTGTATCCCTTCCACATCCACTCCATCAGAGCGCATCTTTTCAAAGGCCGGCTTCATTGTGAACAAGTCGAGAAGCTTCCTTCTTCCCAGCAATGTGGACAAGCTGGTGTTCCTCTCACATAATATGAAAAAAATAAAATCGAATTGAGAGCTTAGGTAAGAATGCTTAATTTCCTTTTTGTAGTGTTTCTGTTTGCTATCCATTAGGCTATATATACATATATATATAAAAAAACGGGTATTTTATTTTTATATCGGGTAGGCTATACAAATAAATAAATACATATTATTTTTATTTTTTCGTTTTTATATAATGCAGAAGTTGTTTTTTATTCTGTTAGAAAAATTAGTCTGATGTTTTTAATTTGTTGTTTCAGGTCAAGACTCATCCGTCATCTTAATGGTAGTTTGTGGCTTTACTCTGATATTTTTTATTTGTATTAGTGTTCTTTAAATTATTTGTTCCACATTTTGTCGTAAATAGTTGTTCTAAACAATTCAATCATAATTAGGCTGTTAATTTGTTTGCTGCCTTCTTTTTTTATTCTAAGTTTTGGCGTTGTGCGATGTGCATTTATTAAGTTGTTCGTTTTTGTTAATTTTCCTTTTGAACAATATAAAAATTATATAAATTTTAATTTTCCACTGTATTTAATACCAAACTGCGTTTTTGCTACAGTATTTATTTATTTATTTATTATTTTTTTTGCCTAGTTTTGTACTAGGCCTAAGTTGCTAATAAGTTTATTTGATTTATTTTAAAGAACGAATTTTAGTTTATTTTATTAAAAACTGTTTTTTTTTTGTTTGTTTGTTTGTTTGACATGTAACTGTTACAGTTTGTATTTTTGATAATAAATTATTAAAATGCACAGGCAGTCTGATTGCTGTTTTTATGTCATAATTAGCCTATAACGTTCTGGTCACTGATTTTTGTGTGTAAGCACTCTATTTAAACGGTTTACTATTCCGTTTTAAGCACTTAATTTCGTTTTGAATGCGCTAATATCATGCTTTAGCATTTTCTGTCACGTGGAAGTGTTAAACTTCAACTTGGACTATATTCCTAGTATATACGCAAGTTATTATATTAATATCATAAATGAACGATTATTTGATTAATCGCTAAAATGCAGGAATGTTAGTCGACTAGGAATATCTTTAGTCGGGGGCAGCCCTACAAATAATGCAGTGAAATTAAATCTGAATCTTTTTATAAAAAACAAACAAACAAAAAAATTAACTTTTCATTGAAGTAAAATTATTAATATTGGGGGTGGACATTTTATTTTTTTATAGCAAGTATACAATGGTCAAAAATATTGGCACCCTTGGTAAAAATGATGCAGTGAAACAAAATCTGTTTTTTTTTATTAAATGAAAAAATCTAAAAAGCTGAACTTTCATTTCAATAAAACCATTATTATAATTGGAGTGGAAATGAAAGATTCCTACAGTAAATGCACGCACATTTTTAATTTATTTTTAATTTTTTGTTCATTTAACAGTGACAATAAACTTGGCATTGTTATACAAAGACAACTGATGTTGCGTTCATAGGGCATATAACATAAAGCTAATTTCCATCCCTCGTCTCTGGTTAAGCTTTACATTATTATATATAGATTGACAGTTTGTAGAGATACTGACATGCTCAGAAAATACATTTCTAAATGGGTTCCATGTTTTAGAAAAAGCCCTAGTGTTGCCATTTATTTTAAACCTGATATTTTCCAAATGGATGAAGCTCATTGCATCTCGCAACCAGTTGTCAAAACTCAGGCGATATCTGCACTGTAAAAAAAATCTGTAAAATAACAGTTAAATGACTGTATATTTTAACAGATTTTTTCCGTATACACGTATTACGGGTGTTTTTCCGTTTATATACATTTTTGAATTGCATTGTGGGAAGGGGATCGCAGCTCAGACAGCGTTTGATGGACACCGGGACATATTTCTTCCTCTGTTTTTTCCCTGGTAAGTACGATTAATAAAACATATAACAATATTTTAGTTAAAAGACTGCTTTATTACCTTTTTATCGTTATTTAAAATGATTTTTGTCTTTTATGAAGCGCCCATGGAAAGTACAGCAGTGAGTTACGTTTAAGATTGTTAATAAGATCAGACTTTATTTCATTAAGATCAAACTGAGCTATGAGTGGTTAAATGTAATTTAAACAAGCATTTACCTAATGATTTTTTACCTTTTTATACGTTTTCCTCATCAGTAAATATGGTATCTGTTCATTTACAGTTGTTTGTCCGTATTTTTCTAAACTGCCGTGCGCGGGAAGTGGCGTGACGTCCAATCACCCACTCACTCCCTCTGCACCTGACTGGATTAACGGTAAACGTCAGTTTGTCTGTAAGAGTGTAAAAGGTATGTTAATTATTTTATAGAAATATAAATGTTTTCTTTGTACAGTGCATTGAACAAGGGATAGCATTCAAAGTCTGTGTCACCGTGTAGTTTGGTTGATATACGTTACCTTTAATGAACACTAACGTTAACGTGTTTCAAACGCTCGTAACACCTGACCGTCTGTGTTTGTTTGCATATTAATGACTAATTTCATATTTTTACTGACGTTATCAAATGTTAGCTTTAGTTTGACCGACGTATTAAGGCTGTGTGACCGAGTTTCAGTGGAACAGCTTTGCTGGTTTTTAAGTAAGTTACAAGTTAGACTCGCGTGAATTGGAGGCATTTGTAACTCGGTATGAGGGGAAATACACACTCGTAAAGTTTTTATTAGTGGTGGGCCGTTATCAGCATTAACGTGCTGCGTTAACGCGAGACTTATCGCGCGATAAAAAAAAATATATATCGCCGTTAATCTATTCTCAACGTTGGGTTGGGAGCTGGGTGACTTTCATACTTTGATAT